AAATAAAATGTTAAAAATAACTACATTGAGGTACTTAAAAACAAGGTGAAATTAACTTAGCAAACAATAATAACATGTAAAATGGGGAGTAGAGTTAAAATAGTTTATGATCTTTAATTGGATATATATTTTGATTAATTTAAACATTGTTAATTTAAAGACACATACTAAAAAAGTAGAAATAAAACGTGTAATTTTCAAATGAGAAGAAGAAAAGGGAAGTAAAGAAAACATGCTTAATACAATTTTTAAAAGGAACAAGGGAAAGGAGCAGAACAGAAGCATAATAAATGGAAAGCACAAAATAGTAGTAGAAATCAATTTAAATACATAAGTAACAATAATAAATGTAAATGAAATAAGCCTATTATTTAAAAGAGTGAAATGTTCAGAATAGAAGGGAAAAAACCTATACAACTCCCAGCCCTTATCCTGATACAGCTATTCACTGTTTAGAAGGGACAACTATAACATTGAAGGAATAAGAAAAATGAAAAATAAAGGACTGAAAATGAAATATCAGGCAAAAATCTACCAAAGTAAACTGGCATGATTAAGTTAATACAAAGAAAAACAGACTTTAAAGATAATTATTGGAGATAAATCATAACAATAATAAAATTAAAATTAAAATAAATTCTAGAAAGGAAATAGTCAAATTGAGCAATAAAATTAAAAACTAGGCATGTAGATATTACACATAGAACTTTGCATTCAATAATGAAGCATACATTTTATTTTTGACACATGTAGAATATATTTCAATGTTTGCTTATGGACTAGTGCTTAGATTCAGTCTCAACAAATGCAAACCAACCAATGTCATAAAGACCATATTTTCTGACTAACATACATTAAAATGAGAAATAAAACCCAAAATATATTCACCTCTCATGCATTTGGAATTTTATACATCTTAAATATTTCATAGAATAAGAAACAATTCAAAATGAAAATTAGAATATATATAGAATCGAATGACAATTAAAACACATATACTATAACTTGTAAGACATTGCTAAAATAGTAGTTGGAAGGAGATTATGGCCTTGAATTATTTTTGTTTTAAGGAAAGAAGGCATTTTGAAATAAATGTGGCAATGTAAACTCAAAGAATAATAATACTTTAATAGTAATGTAATATTTGTACCCCTTAATATGCTTTCCATTCTTGTAATATCTCACTTGGAGGGTTGGGGCTCAAGCTCTATCCAGAATAATATAAGAGGTGCTAGTTCATCATTTTTTATTGTAGAAATTTCCACTTAGGATGTGGGAAGAAAGAGAGAAAGAATCCAAAGAATAGATTTCCTTAGAGAGATCAAGATGGTGGGGAGATGGGAGTTTGTTTTTGGCTCTGCCTTGGTGGATGTACAATCCCTAGAGTGAAGGGAAAAATTTGAGTAGAATGTTGAATCCCTAAGAAGCTAAAGACAGAACATGGTCCCAGATGTAAATATAGTCCTCTTCTTTCCCTATTACTCCTCATTACTCTACCAATGCTTGAGGTAGTATTATATGGAAATTCTAACTTAATTGCTAAGATAGATTATCCCTAACCTATGTGAACACTTTTCTGGACTATAAAGAGAGGAAAAGCTCTCTTGAGTTGTTAAAATAACATTTATATCTCAACTGAACAAGGACAGTGTGAGAAAGGAATATTAATAGGGTAACCTGACATGTTTTAGAGGGTCAGTGGTCTACTCTCATTGTTATGATACATAAATATCTGACATTTTGTCACAAAGTAGAAAGTTGAGATTTGAATTAAAGTAATGAAGTCATTCTTTACAGGAAAGGCTATTTTAATTAGGTTTTTTTTTTCCAGAAACAACTGTATATGAGAACTTGTGTTCTCTTGTTGATTTTTATGACAGAAAGCAGATGGACTGTTAAGTAGAAAAAATTCAAGAGCTTTCTTAGACAGCAAATCTCTCTGGGCCAAGGGCAGCTAGAGCAGAGATTCAGACAAATAATGTTTGACAAAACACTTTGTAAATTCTGAAGTTTTATAAAAGAACAAAGTATATTTTATTATTGATTTCTATTAACAGGGACCAATTTATTGGGTGATGTAATCCTTTTGAGATCATGTGGAACTGTAGTTTGTTTTTCCATTAACTGTGTATTGCTCACAAAGCCAAATCTCAAGAGATTTTGTAAACCTTTGGGAATTAGTTGTATATTTCTAAGCTCTATCTCAACATTTCCACTAAATACAAGGATTCCAGTTTTTGAGGGTAAATGTCTTAAGGGTAAGTGGTTATCAAATTTTCAGCAGGTCCCATAAGTACTACATGGTGTTTGGATTGGTTTTACCTAAATGCTTTAATTGGCAATTAGTTTCCAAAGATGATTAGATTAATCATGTCAAACAGTTACATCACATTAATATGTATAGTGCCAGGCTTTTTACTATTCAACCGTTATTGATCCATTTAGTCCTTAAAAAAATAAAATTCCAGTAAGATGGGTTTTAAACATGAGGACATTAAGTCATAGGAAATATAATTTGCTCAAAGTCTCATATTAGTAAGTGGCAAAGCTAAGATATAATTACAGGTAGAATTGCTCCAGAGTTGCATTAAAATTCTTATTATTATGCTATTGTATTCATTTACTTCTTGAGATTGTATTTAATTATTTTTTAAATACTACAAAAACATACATTGCAAGAAAAGCCAACTGCTCTGAAAATTTTGCCTGGAGAAAGGTAATCTTGAATTTTATATATGCAGATGGTCCCTGGTTTATGATGGCTCAACTTACGACTTTAAGGCAGGTTTATCTGGATGTAACCTCATAGTAAAGTGAGGACCGTCTGGATTTAGTATGGTTCCATTTATGATTTTTGGCTTTACATCGGATGTGTTTATTGGGGTATTAAGTGAATATCTGACTTACATACTTTCAAATTATGATGATTTTATTGGGACATAGCCCCATCATAAGTTAAAGAGCATCTGTAGTTATTTACTAATTTTCTGTCAGAATGTACCATGAATTAGTTAATTTCTTTGATTCAATTTCCCAATATCTGCATTTCAGCTTTAGCATTTCTGCTAGTGAGTCAAAGAAGTCTTAAAGAACCCAACATTTTAATGTCCTGTTGTCCTAAAATTTGTTTCACTGGCTTACCTGGAAGTTGTTTTCTTTTAGAGATGGTTTTTGCTTGTTAAATCATGTCTAATAGAAGGCACAATTGGCAATTGTGGTATTAAATTATCAAACCTATGATGTGACTGGGCACTTGACCATCATTGTCAAAGTTTAAGAAATTAAGAATATTTTAGATGTGGAATGGTCACAGTGCTTGGTTATGTTATTTTTCTTTTCTTTCTTTTTAAAATTGTTAATTATTATGGGTACATTATAGTTGTATATCTTTATAGGGTACATGTTATGCTTTGGTACAGGCATACAATGGGAATTAATCAAATCAGGGTAATCGAGGTATCCATCACCTCAGGCATTTATCATTTCCTTGTGTTAGGAACATTCTAATTCTACTCTTTTTTTAAAAAATAGTTATTTTAAAGTCTGCCCTAACTTATTGTTGATTATATTCACTTTGTTGTGCTATCAAATAGTCTTTGCAGGAACAGAGTTGGGATGTTTGCCAATACAGTTCCTCCTTAAATTGAAATCAGAATGTCTTATTATTCATAGCCTCTAATATGTGCCCAAACCTTCACAACTCTTTCAGAGCAACTGTAGGAACCCCAAGAATCGCTTGACCTCTGTGTTTCTTGTATTATAACTTTTTATGTGTTTTCCTTTTGCATTTGAACAAGAGGGCTCTTCTTGATAAAAGCCAGAACAGATGCTGGTTTTCTCTTGATTATTTTGAACAATGCATACACTCATCAACTTTCCCATTCACACCCTGGAGAAGGAGGCCTGATGTTTTGCAGAGCTTTGGAGTAAATTAGATAGCAAACTCTGAAAGTATCTTATAAATGTAAAATATAAATAAAGAAAGAAAGAAATAAAATGGTAACCAATAGTTACATAGTGGCTTAAAGCTTGCAAAACTCTGCACAGATCTTTTTTGTCTTCGTAACTAGTCTCTAGATGAGGCAATAAACAGTCAGAGGTAAATGAGCTGCTCTGGTCACACAGATGTTGCACCAAGTAGTGGAGTCATGCTTTTAGCCCATTCTTCTGACTTCAAATAAGAAACCTTTCCATCTACGTCATTATATGATCATTGTGGATGAGATATGAAATTAACAGATTTCCTTCTGGTGAAAGTCATACAGATGTTTTGTAACATTTGCTTTGAATAAAATGACAAACACAGGAATATCTCCTTTACAAAAGACTAATTTAGGTAATTTTTAAATTAAATTTTATCTTTCTAGTGGGAGAAAATAACAGATCGATACCTGCCCTACATAGCTGTATGCTTAAAAAGTAGGGGTTTACAAGAAAGACTGTCCTGAATTTGTGTATCTATGTTAAGTAAAAGAAGCAAAATGGCATAATTTGATTTTTATTCTAATTAGGCAAACACACACATGAATATAGTTGAATTTAAATTCTGGGCACTTCATGGTTAACTTGAAGGATCTTATGTTTTTGAATAGCTGATTGTGCAAACAAGCAGTTACTTTTCTCAAGAATGGGAGCTGGCTCTTTTCTGTCTTACACTATGGTTGCATTATAAAGTTTTAAAAGCAATAGAACTATAGGTCATCAGCCATGGGGAAGACAAATTGGTAAAGAAACAGAGCAGTATCTCATTCTCTGTCCACAGAAAAGCATATCACTTAGTAGTAGTTGCTGACTTTCACTCCTATTTGGTATTAATATAATTTCATTTTCAGTGAAATCTCACATACCTAAATACCTTATTATTTTTTCTTAACTATAAAGTGCCTCATTTACTTAATTACTTTGCTAGAAAATTTAAACATTGCATTTCATCTTCATCTGCCTTTTTTAATTGAAGATAGTGAAAGTAAATAAATGCTTTTTTATGATTTAGGGAAATCATTTTTATGCACATGAGCTATTTTGTGTATGTGTTTTCATATGACATAATTTTCTGCAGGCCTAGATAACTATGCAATTTGAGGATTTTTTTTTTTTTGCTGTTTTTTAAAATACTTTTCTGGAACCCTCTTTTCATGCTGTTAAACCAGCCTTCCTTCTACAAGCCTTATTTAACAGCTTGCCTATATATCCCCACCCCTTTCGAATTTGTTGCCTTTATTGTGGTTTCTTCCAGGTATGTTAACATTATTTCTTAAGAAAAAGAATGAAATGGGGCTAAGAGAGGACCAATATAGACTGATAAGTGAATAAATTTTAATAAATGGATATTGTAGCATTTATATTAATTTCTTAAAGGTATTTTTATATACATTCAGGGTTTTTGTAACATTGGGATTTCAAGTCACTGGATAAATATCTCCAGGTGAGTAAAATGTTACTACCTATCTGTTGCTTTCTTCAGTCTACTGGGCTCTATCAAAACATAACCTAATTGGCTTTGTTTACTCTGATAGATCAGCAAACATCAGCAGGAATATCTCTATAGTCAGAGAGATAGATCTACTCTGGTTCTGATCTCTGGATAACTCTTCCTAGTGGTAATAATTTCTATATTGTTTAGGATTATAAAAGGAAATCTAGTCCACTGTGTGTGAGCCTATCCAAAAACTTTGGTCCCCAAAGTAGATTTCAACCAAAAATGCTCTGCTTCCCTCCCTGCTCACTTTCATTGCTTGTTAGCTTTTGTATGAGTTACAAAAATATTAGGCATCAGTCTGATTCATGTGGTTCATTGAACAAGGTCAAAGCATTTAACTGAAGATGGTCCAATTTCACAGTCATTATTAATGGGGCTACTTAGGGTTGCATCCTGGCAACTCTGACTCTTTTTCTCTTAGAGTATTGTCTAAAATACTGAACTCAGAAACATGGCTCTCCTTTCATGTGTTCTTGAAGATAATAACACCCATCTAATTCAGCCTTTAAATCAACACATACATTGAGAACCCATAATATGTTGTAAAAGGTATATAAAAATATATTGCAGTAAATTGTCACAACTTTTTGCTTATGGTCATAAAAGCACTTTTTATAAAAAATAAATGAAACTATATATTACTTTATGTATGAAGTTTTTTCTCCCTTGACATTTTTTCTAATTTTGGAAATATAGAATTTAAAAGCATATCAACATCCAGATACTGCATAATTCTCTCTTGAGTATCATGAATCAAAGGAACATTTTATACTCTTCAAAAAACCCATTGAAAAATGATCAAACTTGATTCCATAGGTAACATATAGAATTTTGGCTAAAAGCAAGAAACCCTGAATCCTCTAACTGAAATTCAGGGGAAACTAAGTCAGTGAATGAGAAACTCTCCAGCTCTGAACCAGTAGCTTTGAGAGAGAAAAGTCAGTGAGAATTTGGCCATCAATAGCAGATAGCAGGGAGGGGTCAGGGATGGAAGCACTGATTTGTTGGTGGCTCAGGTATTACACCTAACAGCCAACCCTATATCTTTAATGTTTCTGGAACAGGAAAGTATTAAACTATAGTCTGAGAATAGTCTTTGACACCATGTTTCTTTCAACCACGTCCACACTGAGTAAAGAATGTCCTGGCCCACTCAAGTTTTCCATTCAGAGAACAGAAGTGAGATAATGAGGGTATGAATTGATTGCAGCCATTTCTACAATTTATTTTTGTACTCACAGTCTCTTTATAGAGGTCTTTTATGTTTCTTAGTTCTCAGTTTCAGAGAATGTTAATTATGTTGATTCATGCAGATGATTTGGGAAATTGAAATGGACTACTTTGATATCATCAGAGCTAGATTGGAAGCTATGTTGTAACAAAGTCTGAATGTTCTATTGCTATAAGCTCAGATAAAGATGGTAGGCTGTCTTATTTTAATAGTAGCAATGGAAAACTAATTAGGTCTGTATAGTTTGTGTTTTCTTTCAGAATGAGGTAGTTAGGGGCGTAAGCCTGGGAATAAAATGAAAGGGTTCTGACTCAAATAGAACTATTCAATAGGGTTAGGTGGAACCAAGGCTCTGAGTTATACCTGTAGTATTTGTCCTTGAGCTTTTAGGAGGTCTATGAAAGAAATTTAGTCATGGGACAGATGAGGCTATCAAGAAAGGAGATAGCCAAGGAAAGGCATATTATTCTGTTTTGGGAGTCAGAAAGTGTCTAATGTCCCTCTATTCTTTTATTTCTTCTTACAGATAATACCTGGTAAGAAATGGCTACTTCAAACCATTCTTCAAAGATTGAGTTTATCCTTGAAGGGCTAACAAAACGATCAGAGCTTCAGTTGCCACTCTTCATCCTGTTCCTTGGAATATATGTGGTCACAGTGATGGGGAACCTGGGCATGATCCTCTTAATTGCTATCAGTTCTCAACTTCACTCTCCAATGTATTATTTTCTCAGTCATTTGTCCTTCATTGATCTCTGCTACTCCTCTGTAATTACCCCTAAGATGCTAGTGAACTTTGTGTCAGAGAAGAACATTATCTCCTTTCGGGAGTGCATGACTCAGCTTTATTTCTTTCTGATTTTTGTAATTGCAGAAGGCTACCTTCTGACAGCCATGGCATATGACCGTTATGTTGCTATCTGTAGCCCACTGCTTTATAATGTTGTCATGTCCCATAGGGTCTGTTCCATAATGATGGCTGTGGTTTATTCACTGGGTTTGTTTGGGGCCACCGTCCATACTACCCACATGTCAGTGTTGTCCTTCTGTGGTTCTCATATTGTCAGTCATTATTTTTGTGATATTCTCCCCTTGTTGACTTTGTCTTGCTCCAGCACCCAAGTCAATGAGATCCTGCTGTTTATTATTGGAGGAATTAATACCTTAGCACCTACACTGGCTGTCCTCATCTCTTATGCTTTCATCCTCTCTAGTATCTTCCGTATTCGCTCCACTGAGGGACGGTCCAAAGCCTTCAGCACTTGCAGCTCCCACCTCATGGCTGTGGGCATCTTTTTTGGGTCAATAACATTCATGTATTTCAAGCCTCCTTCCAGCAATACTATGGACCAGGAGAAGGTGTCCTCTGTGTTCTACACCACAGTGATCCCCATGCTGAATCCCCTGATCTACAGCCTGCGGAACAAGGATGTGAAGACTGCACTGAGGAAGGTGGTTGGGGGAAGGCAGACATGCGGAAAACATGGGACCTCGTAGGGAGCAAGAAGACATGAGCCAGATGAAAAGTTGTCATGGGCTCTTTGTAACTTTCCTTCTCTCTTACAGAGTGAAAATTCATGACTATTTACATATTTTATACTTGAGAATGATTGAGACATTTTTGGATATTAGATAATATTCAGTATGATCTTTGGGAATGTGCTAGAGAAACAGGAGTTGACAGAAGAGGTTGGGCAATGAACATAAAAAAGAATATTTAGGATATATTAATGTTGAAAATGCTTGATATAAAGAAATAGAGAGTGAGCTAAGGGTTGTATTTGAGAAGGGATGACATTAATCGGAGGATCAAAATTCTTGGAGTGTGGGAAGAAAAATGTCTTTAAACTTTTTCAGAGGAGCAGTTTTTTGTCAGTTCCCAAATCTTTGTAAGATATTAAGGATATTGAGATGAAGGGAGGGGTGTGTGTGTGTGTGTGTGTGTGTGTGTGTGTGTGTGTGTGTGTGTCAGAAAGAGAGAGGAGGTGGGGGAGAGAACTACATTTAAGCTGTGGATTAGGGTTAAAAAGTATGTCAAAGATGTAGGCTAGTCTTATCTAGAACTTACACACATTCAGCAAAAATCTCTAACAACTACCTGGTAGTTGCCCATTGCCTCTCTTCAGACCATCACTTAGGCTATGACTGCCTGGCACAAAGTCTAGTAGAGCATGGCTCCCATCTGGAAAATTGCATTCAGTTTTTATTTTGTATTAAAATAATCATTTTAGTGATACAAATGATGTTTCTTTTCTCTTGAAATTCTGTAGCTGTTTCTTACCCCCTGTGTGAATCCCAGTTTTTGAATACTCTGTGATTTTGCCAATTTTCACCCTTAGCTCTTGGTGCAGGAATCCAATACTCTCAGAAAACAGAAACATTGTCTCACTGGTGATTCTCCACGCTGGGACATCATTCCAGACATCAGTGCATAACCTTCAGATCACTTTGCTCTTAACTACAGAGCTTTCTATTAGAGATATGTGTATGAAGTAGCAGTATAATTTAGCATTTCTTTTTGCCAATGATTTAAATGAAAATATCAAAGAAGTTTCGATCAGATTTTCAGATGATGTGAAGTTGACTTAATGGGCGACAGAATCATGATTCAGAAGGACTTCTAGAGTGATAGCCACATTTAATGACATTAAAATATACATGGATAACATAAGATTCTATAGTTATAAAAAAATTAAGAATGTAGGAAAGACAGTGATTACAGAGAATTGAGTTTTTGATGAAAATAGAGTCAATATAAGTAAAAAGCATAGCTACCTAAAAGTTAATGCTACCTTGTCTACATTAGCTACATTTTAGTATTTAGAATGAGAAATATTCCAGTCATCATTTGCAGTATAGTAATTAGACTAGTTGTGTTTGAATGTAATTTAATTAGTGGATATCACTATACCAGGGGCCATGGGCATTTTCAAGTATATTCTGAGGAGTGTAGCCATGATAAAGGGAATTGAAATCACATATTCATTGATTAGTTCATTCTCTTGATCATTCATCTTACAAATACTTCTTGAATTTTTAGTAATTGCCTGATAGTATTTCTCATACTGGTAATAAAGACATGAACAAAAATGTAAAGTTCTTGCCTTCATTAGATTTAGGTTTTAGTTTCAAAGAAAGGTAATTAACAGGTGGACACATACACAATGTAATCTCATGACATAAACTGTTTTAGAGAGAATATAAAGCAAGATAATAGGATAGAAATTACAGATATTGGGGGTTAGTTATTAATGGATTATACATAGAAAGGCTGCAGGATAGTTATTGAAGTTTTTGTAGTTTTTGCCATAGTAGATTTTGTTGAATGAGAGAAAGTTACAGAAAGGAACACTTTTTCTCAATTATGGAAGACTCTTCCAAAAATCAGAACTGTCCAAAAATAATTAGCCATCTTATGAATTTGTGAACTGTCCAGCAATAGGGGTTTAAGTAGAGACTAAACCATTCAGTCTGGGATATTTCTGAGAAGAATCAAATACCAGCTAGGGGTATGACCAAAGTGATCCCTTTGCTCATTTGCAACATTGAGGCTTTCTGATCCTTTTACCTTCTGATCCTTTCTGTTCCCTACCTTTTCTCCTTTCCACTATCCTGTCATGCCTCCTCCCTGTTTCCTTTAACCTCTTTTATTTCCTTTCTCTTCTCTTCCACTTTATAAGTTACTGTAAATCAAAACTAATAGCTTAATAACCTTCACCCTCATAGTCTTTAGCTGGTGGTAGTCAATATTTGTTAATAAGATTTTGTTGAATTTAAATGATGCTGAGACTTTTGTTGAGTGCATTGTGTACCCTTTATTTAAAGTCACAAACAGCAGGAGGTGATGCCCCTGATTACATCTTGGGATATACATGCATATATTCTGGCATTGCTACCATTTATCATATTATCCTATCAAAAGCCTAGATTGTCAAGGTCAAAAATCACAACTTGTGTTACACTCCCCCTGCCTATTTAATTTTAGTTAACCACACTATTGCGATTAATTGCCTCTTAGATCCTCATTTCTCAGAACAATTTCAGTGACCAACATTTCTTCAGGATGAAATGTATGTAACCAAGCCCACATGCTAGAATACTATAATCATATAAAATTCTCTTTTGGGGGCACTTTTTATGTTATATCCTGTGGTAGTTGCTTTGTATGTATTTGAATCTAAACTTTACAATGATTATCTATAATGTGGCACCATTATCCTAAGTTTACTCATGAAAAGTTTGTCCTCTGAGAGTTTAAATGAATTCTCCAAGGCCCCATGCTTTGTAAGTGCAGAACTTGAAGTAAAATCCAGCTCAGACTCATTTGAATTTCTGTCTTTTCCATGGCCTCCCTTTGCTTGCCTGGTAGGCTACAAACTGATTACCTTTGCTTTGGGAAAAGGAGACCCTGGAGTTTAATTAAAAAGGATTTGTTATGGGATACTGAGTTGAATCTCCTCTGAGTAACTGAAATATCCAAGGAAGTTTTCTTCACAGTTTCTTTCACCTTGTAAACTATAGGCAAAACCTCTTCACTTGAGCACTCCCCTGGGATTCTCAAGGAAGTTGTAGAAGTGGACTAAATAATTTTTATCCAAAGCTTAAGGGTTACTAGAACTTCAAAGAAGACAGAAATTTAATCTTTGATAGAGCAACATACATTTATCCTATACCTAGTTTACTTAACATTTTAAAAAATTACCAAATCTCAATTAAAAGTTTTTGTAGAGTTCTCTCTGTCTTTTCCAAAGTCTTTTTCTGCATGTCCTCCTATTGCCTCCATATTTTACTTCTCAATGGACAGTTATTTGGGGACATAAATTCCAAAGTCTTAAAATCCCTCAATCAATATAAACATTTTCTAATACTTTATCTCTATATATAGTATGATATCTCTTCCCGTATTTTTAATGTACATTTTAAGAATATGCATTGATGTAACAGTGTTATGGACAATATTGTTTGATTAGGCCAACAATCATTAAGGGGAAAAAAACAAACTTTTTTTGTCACGAGCTAAGGCTACAGTAAAAATATTTTCATCAGAATAGTCTGCTATCCTTGCTGATAATGTATGGCTAATTTGTCATTCGTGTACCATATTAGTTGCCTGAATACTAGCCACATCTCAGAGTGACAGATGCTAAAGTCTTTAAATCTGCTATCAGTGGATTATATGTGGATATATGCAATAATGATAAGGATTAAGAATTTAGTTTAGCAAGGGTTGGGATAAGAACTTCAAGTGCACTGAAACATGGAATCAATGATTGACTAACATAAGTACTGGAACAAAAATGCTACTAGGGAAAAACAATCACAGAAATAATGCTCAGTAATGTTGACTCTGCAGAGTTGTCTATATGTGAAGATTGTGTGAGTTGTAGCACTAAAGATGCGTACAAAATACATCTTTCATCACCAGCTGTAGCATACTTGAAGAGATTCAGTAACATTATATAGCAATGGTTTACTGATGACGTTGCAGCCAGTAGGTGATACTCTGAAAAAGGGAACACTAGGAAGAAGTGGAGCT